AGAGTTTAAACACCTCCTGCACCAACACTTCTTCCACATTACATAATCCTTTTGATAATTTGGCTACTTGTAGAGGAGACTGGCATGCTAATATATGTAAAACAGAATTTGATCTCATGAGTTCTTCCAACTTTTAAACTGATGAAGAAAGACATTTCTTATGTTAATGATTCCTCCAATGGCGCCTTCTCATATAATTTATATGCTTGTGTAATATTGGATGGCAGCTTGGCCCTCTAGCATTTATAAAGAAGTTTCTCACTGTAGGATCAAATTCTCATTAGGTGATTTACTATGCAAACTTCTACAGTTTCCCATTGTCCAGAAATAAGATAGAAAGATTACTTGGATCAGTGTTAGACTAACCACTGTAGTCTGTTAACTCTATAGCACCTTGTACTGGCAACACTTTAAACTTTCTACTTTTGCCCTCTTCAGGAAGTTTCAGTATTGACTATGTACCTTCACTGGATCAGTATGTTCAGTGATAGCGAAGGGATCTTCTGTGGTTTTGTCTAAAAAGAAAGTAAACCCCTTTTAGTTTTGGATCATACTGAAAAATAAAATGCCCTGTCAACTTCTATACTGATTTTAAACTTATGTAATTCTTCAGATAAATTGAGGTATTCTTAGCCTGGTTGAGGCTAAATTGAGGCATGGTTCAGTGGTTGAGCATCAACCTATGAACCAGAAGGTCAGATTTCAATTCCGTCTCAGGGCATGCCCAGGCTGTGGGCTTGATTCCCAGTGTGGGGGTTGTAGGAGGCAACTGACCAATGATTCTATCTCCTTTTCCTTCTCTGAAACCAATAAAAATATATTTTTAAAAATAATGTGACCATTTTAATGAATAAATGGCATTACTTCTGCAGTTTTCCTACAGTGCTCTTTATCAGCTGGCCCTTGGAGCCTTAACTTGATGCCTTCGGAAGTCTTTTAATTGAAAGCTTAACATGAGGGGAAGGGGATATCTGCGATAATGTCTGCTACTAATTTTTTTAACATAAAATAATAGAACACTTTAATAAAAATTTATATTTTTTTCTTTTGTTAAATTAAACTTTATTATTCATATTATTACAAATGTTCCTCATTTTTTTCCCTCCATTGCTTCCCTTCACCAGGTTCCCATCCCACCTTTTGCCCTTTCCCCATCCCTCATCCATAGGTGCACAGTTTATGTTCATTCTCTTCCCGTACCCCCCACTCCCCTTTTCCCCCAAAATCATCAATTCACTCCCCTTCCATACCTCTGATTCTATTATATTCACCAGTTAATATTGTTCATCAGATTTTTTAATTCCCTTGGTTTTTAGTTTCACTTGTTGATAGTTACGTATTTGTTGTTCATAATTTTTATCTTTTTCTTCTTCCTCCTCCTAAAGAACCCCCTTCAGCAATTCATTTAATTCTGGTTTGGTGGTGATGAACTCCTTTAGTTGTTTTTTTTTTGTGTGAAGATCTTTATCTGGCATTCAATTCTGAGTGATAGCTTTGCTGGTAGAGTATTTTGGGCTGTAGGTTCTTGCTATTCATCACCTTGAATATTTCTTGCCATTCCCATCTGGCCTGCATGGTTTCTGTTGAGAAGTCAGCTGACAATCGTATGGGTGCTCCTTTATAGGTAACTTCTGCTTTTCTCTTGCTGCTTTTAATATTCTCTCTCTGTGTTTTGCTCTTGGAATTTAATTATGATGTGTCTTGGTGTGGACCTCTTTAGATTCCTTTTGTTTGGTGGGCTGTGCAATTCCTGGACTTGTAAGTCTATTTCTTTCACCAGGTGGGGAAAGTTTTCTGTCACTATTTCTTCCAGTATATCTTAGGTATCTTGCTCTCTTTCATCTTCTGGGACCCCCATAATTCTGATGTTGGTTTGCTTGAAGTTGTCCCAGAGGTTTCTTACATTATCTTCAACTTTCTGGATTCTCTTGTCTTCTTGCTTCTGCAGAGGAGTGTCCTCTGGCTCTTTGTGTTCCAAATCTTTGACTTGATTCTTGCGATCTTCCATTCTGTTTGTAGGACTCTGAGTAATATTTCAGACGATGTATTCTTTGTTTCTAGTTGGTCCCTTTTCATATCCTCAAAGGTCTCATTTATTTTATCCACCTTTTCTAGGAAATTCTTGAAAAACCTTATAACTGTGGTTTTGAACTCTATATCCAATTGCTTTTTGTCCTTCATTTCTTTTGTTTGTGATCTGTTTCCTTGTCTCAGCATTTCACAGCTTCTCTGAGTTGGTAGGGTGGCTTTGTGTGCTAAGGTGTCCTGTATGGTTCAGGGGGTCAGCCTCTCAGTTACATGAGGTGAACACTCTTGGTGCACCCCTTTGAGGACTGTGTGTAGTAGCCTTATTGTAGTTAAGTCTTGATTGTTGTTGGTATCACTGGGAGGAACTGACCTCCAGGCCAATTGGTTGTGAGAATCAGCTGTGTCTATGCCAGGAGACAGCCTTATTCTACTAGACTTGGAAAATTGCAAAGGCCTCTGTGCTCAACATGGATGGGGCGGAGTTTCAGGGTGGAGCCTACAGCCTTGGCTTCCCATAGCCCTGCCCTCGGAGGTTCCTGTGTCTCAGTGTTCCTCAGTGTCCTTTGGTACTTGCTGCAAGCACCTCTGAGAGAAAGGTGCCCTCAAGTTTCACCCGCTACCAGACAGTCTAGTTTCCCCCACAATGAGCCCAGTACTGGGGTTCAGAGTAGTTGGAAGGGGGATTGGAAGTGGGGTTCAGTGCACTCCAGAGCTTTTGTCTCCTTCCCGCTAGGGTAATCCAGCAGCACAGTCAACAGTCCATCCTCTGCGCATAATGTGCGGGACTTCAGGACTCTGCCTTTTGCCGCTCCCCTGGGTTACCGCCATACAGCCCAGATTCCCTCCATATGAGCCTGGGTTCCCAGGGTCTGGACTAGAACTGAGGTTCAATGCAGTCACAACTGGGATTCAGCACAGACCAAAGCTTTAACCTCCTTCCTGCTAGGGAACACCAGCCAGGCACTCAGCTGCCCCCTCCTCTCCAGCTCAGTCCTCTCCCAACACGTGCACTGTGTCTCTGTACATTAGTCTTTTAAAGCTCCTCTTATTTTCCTTCTGGTTTTCTTTGAACTTCTAGTTGTAGAATTTCCAGTCAGTCAACTTTCCTTTAGTTCTGGATAATGTCCACTTTGTATTTTAGTTGTGTTTTTTGAAATTGTTGTGCGAGGTTGCAGTTAGGCATTTACCTATGTCGCCATTTAGGTTTCTCCTAATTTATTTATTCATTTACTCTTAATTTTGGAGGGCATGTAGTGGAATAATATTTTGTTGAAAAAGCTTAACCTAGACACGAGTATATGATAGGGGATGTAGGCATGATGTCACACACAGTTACTTATGAAGTCAAACACCTATTTCTTTTAGATGCGGCCATTATGGGGGGACTCTAAGAGTTTTCTACTCAGCTAAAAGTGATGGTGTGTCATCTGCAGGCAATACCATTGAATCCCCAAAATGACAGGATTCATAAACTAAAAAGCGAAATTTTATTGTGAAAATTCACGGTGTCTCCAAGTTTTCTATCCTCCCCTTCCTATCCCCAATCTCCCTTTTTAAATATATATTTTTATTTGTTTCAGAGAGAAAGGGAGAGGGAGATAGTTCAAAGATGAGAGAAAATCATTGATCGGCTTCCTCCTGCACTCCCCCTTACTGAGGATTGAGCCTGCAACCTGGGCATGTACCCTTAATGGGAATCGAACCCCAGGACCCTTCAGTCTGCAGACCAAACTTCTATCCACTGAGCCAAACCAGCAAGGGCTTCCTTTTTAGTGTCTCAAACCATTGCCTTCTCTGAAAATCGGTCTCTGTGTCTGAAAGAGTCTGTAAACTGCTGCCAGCTGATTTCTGTTTCAAAAGGAAAACACTGATGGAAGAGGAAGTCTTATTTATTTTTAAATCAAATTTGTATCTAGTCGGTTTCTCAAGTTTGTGGGATGAAATTAGGTTTACAGAGGAAAAGTTGTAGTTACCGTGAGGATGCTCAGATTCTCAAGTGCCAGCTAGGTGACCAAAAACACTCTTTTAAATCACAATAATGAGCACTACAAACAAAAGAAAATGAAACTAAGCACCAGAACCAGCAAAAGAGAAAAACCACACAAACAATTAAAATTTAAGCATGCTATTCAGCAGGCAAATACTGTGCTAGCACCATCTATACAAAAACCACTAAGACCCTGGTTTGTAGCTTACAGAGGACTAGTATTTCTCTCCTCTGGGCTCAGTGAAATAAGGCAGGGACCCCAAAGGTACCATAGAATCCAGGTCAGAGAATACCGTGAAGGGGGATTGAGGAACCCCACACCAATTCAAGAGTATAGAAGCTAAGTAGCCAAAACCGGTTTGGCTCAGTGGATTGAGTATGGGCCTGCTGACTGAAAGGTCCCAGTTTTGATTCTGGTCAAGGACGTGTACCTTGTTTGCGGGCACATTCCCAGTGGGGTGTGTGTGCAGGAGGCATCTGATGTTTCTCTCTCATTGGTCTTTCTAACTTTCCCACTCTCTGAAAAATCAATAATATATATATATATATATATACATATATATATATATATATATTCCCACTCTCTGAAAAATCAATAATATATATATATATATATATATATATATATATATATATATATATATATATATATATATATATAACAAGCTAAGTAAACAGCTATAGAAGATCCCCAAAACTGGGCAGAGCTTGAACCAAGATCATGTTGGGACCTGGACAATCCTGTACTATGTTGTTGAAACAAATGAAAGTCTCTTCCTGACTTAGGTGTTTAACAGGACCACCTTTGCTTACCAAACATTTCTTCCTTTCACCTTCCAGTGAAGGGGGATTAGATTTACTCTCATATTAATATGATACCCACTCTTATTAATTCACACACACCTTCATTTATTAAAAAAAAAACTTTATTAAACTGGTCAAAAACAAGGACAAAAACTGCTCCAGTCCCTTAGAAAGTTTTCATTCAGTCAGTTCCTATAGAAATCCTAAGGGGTTTTGAGTCAGGTCCTACATAGAAATAAGGCCTAAGAGGTTGTTGATTAAAATCCTCAGTGAAAGTATAGATGTGTGATTTGTCAGTCATGTTATAAAATGAGATCTGCCCCATATCATAGTCCAGGAAAATGCCGATGTCTGTGGGCTTCACTTCAGACAAGAGAAGGATGGTGTCAGCTCCTGGGGCATCATAGACATTCTCCAGCCGCCTTATCTGCCAGCATCCCTGATGGGCCGACAGGCTCTCCTTTGACTCGGTGGGCAGAGAATCTTTGCAAACCCCTATCTCCCAAATGGGTTTGTCTCCCACTTCTACCTCCCAGAAATGCCTGCCAGAATGAAAGGATGGAAACCCCAGGACAGCTGTGATGAATGTAAACCTTTTTGGAAAAATCGTAACATCTTGCCTTCTCTTTGTATATTGCACACATTTTTTATCCTCAGAGACAATCAGGTTAGGGTGTGCTGTTTCAGGGTCTAGAATAATATCAGCTCTAAATGTTTTTATAATTTTCTTTAAGGCAGAATACTCTAAAGGAAAACTACAGCCTTTGGTGTGTATCTCGGCTGAGAACGTTGATGGGAAGGCCACCTCAGAGTTCTTGTAGAAACTTTTCATTTGTAACAGCAATTCCACATCTGTCAGCATCGTGTACTCTGGTATCTGACTTAGCAGGCCTTGGAATGTGGAAATGTTCTTTGAAATTTTGATTATATTAGCACTGATTTTCTTTTCAATAGTCTTTTCTTCATCAGATAATTTTGAAAGAAATTCTTCTTGATCCCGTTGTATAATCTGCCTGAATTGCTCACATGCAGAGAGAAATTGCAGCCTTTTGGTTCCCACATTCTCTCTCAGTTCTAAGGTTTTTTTCCTTTCAATGCTTATTAATTTCTGAAGGTCTGCTATCTGCTTCCTCAGGGGCTCAATGTAACTGGAGACCTTTAGTCTGTGATGAGAGGCAGCCTCCTCAATGGGCCTCACCTGGTGGCCCTGGTGGTCAGGAGGCTGAGTGCACAGGGCACACAACAGCTCTAGGTCCTCCTCACAGAAGAGGGTCAGGGGCTGGTTGTGCTGCTCACACAAGTGCCTCACTTCCTGCCTCTTCTTCTTGCCCCTGGTGGAGTGGAGAATCTTGCCCATGTCAACCATCTTTGCCAGCTGGGTGTTGCTCCTCAAGCAACTCTCTTGGCATGGGTAAAGGCATACAGGGCAAGGGAACCTTTCCTGTACATCAGCCCAGGACTGCTGGATGCAGGAGCGACAGAAGTTGTGCCCACATTCGATGGTGACAGGGTCTTGCAGGGCATGCAGACAGAGGGGACAGTTGATTTCTGCTGGGAGTCTTGCCAGAGCTGCATCAATCGCCATTGGGCCCTGAAAGAAGGATGGGACTGAGGTGGGTTTCTTCAGAAAGTTAGGTTATGCAGTGAGAAGTGGATGCATGAGAAATCTCAGTCCTCACTTTCGTGGTGGCCTGTGAGACCTGTGAGACCCCTGACCTTTAAATTCCAGCTGCCAAGAAAAGCCCTTTCCTGCCAAAACCGGTTTGGCTCATTGGATAGAGCATTGGCCTGGAGATTCAAAGGTCCCAAATTAGATTCTGGTAAAGGGCATGTCCCTTGGTTGCAGGTATATCCCCAGTAGGGGATGTGCAAGAGGCAGCTGATCTATGATTCTCTCTCACCTATGTTTCTAACTCTCTATCCCTCTTAATTTTCTTTTAAAAATCAATAAAATATATTTAAAATACAAAGAAAAGCCCTTTCTCCAACCAGCAACTAGTCACAGCTCAGCTGGACAACTGCTCCTCCAGATTTGGAAGCTCAGAGAACATGCAGCCAACTAAGCAGCTTTCTTGGTCAGAAGAGCAGTCCTTACCTGTAGTCATTAGTTGCTGTGTGTGAGAAGATATTTAAATATCTTCTTAAATCCCTGGGTTTATTTCAAGTGGCTCCACCCACTACCACACTCCAGTCAAACACAGATTTCTCTCTTCTAACCCCAATCTTTCCTTCTCATGCTTTTATCATTAAGCCCATCTATTTGCACGCCATCCATGAATCTGTTTTCCATTCACCCACCTGGGCTATGGGAAGGGCTCTAGGACAGATGGGTTTAAGGCACCCAAATTACACCACAGCCTTGGCCACCGATCCATGTAACTTGGGAGAATTTATTTGACATCCTGAAGGGGCTTAGAACATGTGATCTCAGAATATGCCATTTGGAATGGGGGTTATTTTGAGCTAATGGCAATCAAAACCCAGTAAACTCAGGAAGAGCCCTGAGCTCTTCCTTCACTGCCCCCTCAAAGTATCAAATTCTGCATTTATGGGATAATCAGCAATTATACAGGAAATTGCCATCAGAAAAGGGGCCTTTGGAGCTGGAAGAGAACTATTACCAGAGTTACCCTTTTCACCTGAGATTCACCTTTAGCTGGACCACCTTTGCTTACCAAACATTTCTTCCTCTCACCTTCCAGTGAATTGTCTCCCACAACCCCAGAGGCTCCAGGCCCCTAGCCTTTTCTCACCTCCATATGGTACAGAAGTCTCACTTCTCTGACCACCAATTGAGTCTCCAACCTTTGTGAAAATCCTGCATACAAAAAAGAATTAATTAAAAAATTTGTCTATTGTTCACGTGTGCTGAACTAACTTCAGTGGAGCCTAGGACCCAGTTTCAGGTTCAGAAGGTCACCAGGGTGGAAAAGCTCAGGTGTCTAACAAGGAGCAATCAATTGTGGGTGGAATTACTATTTCGACTGCTGTAATTTAAGAAATAAATGTTCACTTACAGTTTGAGGTCTTGGCTCTGAATTCTTTCCCAGCCAAACCCAAGTTCCAAGGTTGCTGAACCTGATAGATCCTCCCTTCCTCCAACTGAAAGACAGATGTAAACTCCAACTGCAGCGAGACATTCCTGAGCACTGCAAAATACCCTTGGCCCCTGATGCCTAAGTCCCTAGGTTCCTAATCTTATACCTTACATGAAACCACCTATCAGCCTTTGTTGGGTGCCCTAAGCTTCATACAGTGTCTTTCTTCCCCTTAAAAGGTGCATGAACCCTGGCCCTTGCTCTCTTTCTCTGGAAGCAGCCAGCAGTGGTACCCTCCTTCAAGAAAGCCTGTGTCCTGGCATCCAGGTCTCTGGCCCCCTCTCTGTTTCATCTTTCAGAACCCAGGTTTGATGTGACCCCACCAGTCAGACACCTAGTGCTGTTCCTGCTGCCGCCTACAACAAATCTATTTAATGTCAATTTAATGCTTAGACCAGCCACAGAACCTACAATTGTAGGAGGTAAATTTTTCCCTTCCATACAATCCCAAACTCTTGTAGTCAGGTATATAAAAATAATAATATCACTATAATTTCTGTATTATGAGGATATAGAAGTTAAAGAAAGCCCTGTTCTTGAAACAGTATTTATGTCTCCCAACTCACATTTACTAAATTCAGTTTTCTTTCCCCCCCATCCTTTCTCTTCTACAGTATATTGTATAAGAAAATACAACTGTGCCTCTACCATCTTCGGTATATACCATATATATACCATACTGTCTGAACTGACACATCTCAGTAATAAAAAGACTAACAAGGGGAAAACAAGCTTAATGATATGTACACCTTCTATAAACCTGGGAGAGACCTAGGAACACTGTAACTCCCCTAAAAGGTCTAAGCCATCACCTTAAATATTATACTCAGCTAAATATAAAATAAGGATGGTGGGAGTGGGTCAGTTATGCTGGGTTATCAAGCAAAGTAGACTGAATAAGGGAAAGATTGTCAGGCAGATTTCAATGGGTGGCTTCTCCATTGATAAAACAGTTTCTAGAGCTTCAGAGTCATGTTCTTCTTTCTGATATAGACACACCCTTAACAATGTAAATCTCCCTCACAAAAGAGCAACCTCACTATTTCCAGATATTCTGCAGCATCAGCAGGCTTTTAAAAATCATCAGCCCAGCATATTTTAGAGTGGCATATTCTGTCCTCCTTCAACCTGTGTGTATGTGCCAAAAAGCCTCATTTGTGAAATGTGATCCAGGGAGGAACTAACATTTAACACATTCAAATTACCCTAGCAGGTTTTGCTCAGAGCATAAGATGCCATAGAGTGTTGGCCTGTTTACAATGAATGCTTATTGTATAGGAAAGATTGAACAAATTGATAGTACCCAATGTTGGTTTTGGGAAGTAGCTATTGCAGTGTTATAGACAGCTGGAGTAGAGAAACCTTGTTTTGTTTTTTTGTGTTTTTCTTTTTAAAAAGTCACATTGAACTATCCATCAATAATTGAAAAATATTTGGGTCTGTTTTTTTTAATCACCTTAATTCTAAAAAATCCATTAATCATCCATGGACACAGACAATGTGGCACTGAGTTCCTGAGGTAGGGGACCCGGGGCCGGCTGGAGGGGGCCAATGAGGATTAAAGAGGGACATATATACTAATTTCAGCAATAAAGAATTATTTAAAAATAAAATAAGAATTTAAAAAAAGATGATAAGCATTAATCCCTGGACAGTGTGGCTCAGTTGGAGCAGCATCCCATTCACTAAAAGGGTCAGGTTCAATCCAGGTCAGGGTACATACCCAGTTTAGGGTTAGATCCCTAGGCCCAGGGTCAGGTGGTGAGCAGGAAGCAACTGATTGGTTTCTCTCTCTCTCTCTCTCTCTCTCTCTCTCTCTCTCTCTCTCTCTCTCTCTCTCTCTCTCTTTCCCCCCCCCCCCCCGTCTCAGTCTTTCCCCCTCCCTCCCTCCATACTTCCCACCCTCTTTAAAACTGATTTTTTAAAAAAAAAAAATCTCAAAAGAAATTACTTATGCTAAGCCCCATGCCATCAACTAAAACTTAATTCAGCTTTCCCAGAAGTTGAATCTTAACCCCATCAACCAGGAATCACCTGATCAGCACTAGTAGGTCAACTGCCTGATGAGCCATTGCTATTCCCAAAGGAAAGTAAACTTGCAATAACTAACCCTTTTTTTCTGGTCCCTTGTGCCTATAAAAGCATTTTATTTTTTAGTTCCTCAGAGCTTCTTTCTAGCTGCAATGCCAAATGCTGCCTATTGAATCACTGAACAAAGCTAGTGAGATCTTTTAAAATTTACTTAATTTGGATTAAATATTGTTCTTTAACACCCATACAATTTAATCAAAATAATAAAAACTATGTACAAAAAAGAAGAGTAAAATAGATATATACAAAGATTTAAATTTAAAAAAGCAGAAACATTGCAAATACCAAAAGTCGGTGTTGGCTGAATAAACCACATTGCAAACGTATAGAACACATTCAGTTCAAGAGACTTCAAGCTGATTTTAAAGAAAGATGGTAGTGCCAAATGTACTGATCTAGAAGGAGGCACACTAAACCATGTATACTGAAGAAAGCAGGTTAACGTCCCACTCCATTGCAGTCCCAGGTGTTGTCTCAGACCACTGACCGCAATAAGTGTATTCAGAATTTTGTGTTTTAGACCATGAATATGCCATATAGCTCATGTAATTTGTAAACATCCACAGAATGATCTGGGGAAACACTTCCTAATCAAACTCAATGTAATTATGGCAGAATGTTCCTGTGTTTATACCAAATGGGGTGATGTTTTGCCAAATACAATTTGAACCAAGTTTAGCAAAAATGTGAGCCAAAAATCCACTAGTCAGTTTGGCTCAGTGGATTGAGCCTTGGCCTGCAAACCAAAGGGTCCCAGTTCCATCTGGTGGCAGGTACCTGGGTTTCAGGCTCCTCCACAGATCAGGCCCTAGTCAAGGCAATTGCAGTTGACAACCAGTTAGATGTGTTTCTCTGATATTTCTGTCTTTCCCTCTCTTAGAAAAAAAGAAAAAGAAAAAAAAAAGAAAAATATTCTTGGGTGAGGATTAAAAACAAACAAAAAAACCCACAAACTTTAAAAACAAACTGGTTTTACAGCAGTTTGGGTCCCAGCCTGTGGGCTCTTGTAGGATGACCCTGTGACCTGGGACTAGTGTCCCCCAGGCCTCTGTTTACACAGGTGCAGGCTAGACTGTGCCCCGGTTTCCCCAGTTCCTTCCCAAGCTCACAAGGCTCAGGGTCTATCTCTTTTGTGGCACCAAACCCACTCTAGGCGAGCTTCAGCCATGTTTCCTCA